AAACGTCATGAAATTTTTACTGGAAGTCGATTAAGGATAGCAGATTCTAACGCACTAGTCGACATATAGAGTCACTAGAGCTTACTCAGTTACTTTTTTTATTGTTTACTTTGGAACGCACCTTGTATGATATTGAAGAAACTTATCCTATCCCTCGAGTATATCTTTAATGTCGGGATATTTTTAGTTTAGTTTAGTTTTAAACTGCCAAGCTTGTCGAAATGTCTATGAACGTACCGTGCATCCGTTCCACATGAGCGATCGTTGTTGAATGGTGTACTGGCGTCAGGGCATGTGTAATTTGAAGTCTGTCATACACTGCCTTCGCTACGTTGCCTACGAATACATTTTCATTGTCCGTCATGAGATGTTTGGCGTTAGGGTACCCTTGAAATATAATTTCTTCTATGTACTCATGACAATTTAATTTACTTTCCATTTTCGTAGGTAACAATATTTCGAGTACTTGTCAGTGGAGCTGATGTATATATTATTGCTCATGTGAAAAATGTCCATTTGCATGTATTCAACTACGACTTTACTTTACCTTTTGGGAAGATATTAACCCTCAAAAAGCCCATTGATGGGTTGGCATTTTGAACTTCGGAATTTTAAGTATTTCCCACCAACAGGGTTAGTGATATTACAAATTTACAAGTTGGAAGGTGATCAATATTGTGATGTTTGACATGAAATAATATTTCCACTTCTATTTTAAGGCATTTCTTACAATTGGTCTCGCAACCTATTTTGCTATTAAGTCATATATGTCCTTGTAATTAATTGCATGGCGTACTCTATTTGGATACATTAAAGAACTATAATTTGGTTTTTAAATGAATTTAATGGTTGTTTTACCCTTCTAAACTGTTATACAGGTAAACTTTCTGCCGAATGTTGCAAACTATCAGTATTCGCATTTATTTGTAGTCGTGATAATAACAAAACATTTGGTGTCTTGGTTGGCAAACAAGTTTTGTTCCATATTCTTGTCGAGAGACAAGGCCGTGTCATATATGACACTTTCAACCATCTAGGCGGTCCGCATGTCCATCTGAGTCGGGAGGGGGTGAGAGGTCCATCTATCCTAGACAGCAGTTGCCCCAGATACGCTGGTGAAGTAAGTTCGCTCTCCATCAACCTATTCTCGTTCTGGTTCGCGTCCTAGCGCAGCTGTGTCAGTGGCTACATATGCCCTGAAAATGCCTTGTCTCTCGAAGGATAACAAAACATTTGGTGTCTTGGTTGGCAAACAAGTTTTGTTCCATATTCTTCAGTTAAATTTTTCCATCTTTTTAATTTTGTATTCGGATTCTTTTGGTATTAAATAAATGAGTGATTGATGGTCTGTGTAAATAGTTAGATTTGCTACCCCATATATGTAGTTTCGTAACTTTTGAGGCAACTGTTTCTATATTTTGAAACAGTACTGCCCCAATAGCAAAACTACTTGCATAAGTGGTTTAATAAGATGGTTTGGAGAAATCTGGTTGAAAGAGTTATATTTGTTCCAAAAAAACGATTCCAATTTTTTGCAGTGCGTTCAGTGCTGCCTCGTCTAATTTTATTTCTACTTTGGTGCTTTTATTTTTTCTTATCATTCGTTGATCCCCTGTTAAACGAATGGTTAAAGGTTTAGTGATAGAAATTCCACTATAATCCTATTATGTTTAATTATGTGCCCATACTCGACTGAGTCTTGTAAAAAATTTTACCTTTTTTTTTACTGAAACTTTCATGTTGGCTACATACATTTATTACAGTTAAAACGTGTTTGACATGTTCTTTGGGTGAAAAAGAAAAAATTATTATAGAACATCGCCCATATAGACATAAGCAAATGTACCAATCTGTATAATATGTATACATTAATTCCAAAAGCGGTTTTTGCTCTATCAGATTTCTTTCTTTGAATCTGGAGGAATCCTGATTCTAAATCTACGGTTGAAAATACTTTCGCTTTTTTTAAATTTTGTACAGTCATATTATATTTACATCAGGTATTGGATATCTGTCTGTGATTGTCAGAGCATTATTTTTTGCACATCAATTACCATTATCTTTTTTTGCTTGCCTTGTTCATCGGTGCCTTTTTTTGGAACAGTTCTTATAGGAGAATTATATGGGTTTTTACCTGCCTCATGTATTTCTTCTTTATATTCTTAAGTTCAAAATGCAAAAACAAAAATGTATATTCCTATTTTCATTTTTGAGATAACGGGATTTTAGTATAATAACAAGTAAATATAGGCACCAGAGAGTCTGCGTTCAGTTAGCTTGAATTGGAAATACCGTTACTTCTCATGAATTTGTTCCTTGTTCTTTTTGCGTAGATTCTATTGTGTTTTAATATAATAAGTCGTTTAAAGAGCTCGTGACGCGTTTTAATGATATTTAAAAAAATGGAAACCAAAGGATGAGAAATTGGTCTGTCGGAAAGAAAAATTATCATTAAGTTTCAGAAAAATTGGGCAAACTATTGGAAGAACGTACTTTTCTGTCCAGCGCGTCGTAAACAATTTAAAACAAACCGGAATTTTAACGTCAAAACCGCGATCTGGCCGGCCAAAGTCTAACTATTTCCGCAGTATGCTTCGCTTTTCAAGGGCAGTTCCTGACTTATATATCCTTTCTAATCGATAACTGTTTAAAAATAGTTTACAATTACTTAAAATAATTTATTAGCCCGTTTTTCATTTCTATAAATATTAATCCGAAATGATCTGCACTAATGCTACCAAGCTGTTGTTGCTTTCTTAAATTGCACCCTAGAATTAAGTTTATATGTACCAGAGTCATCATTTTTCCGGTATCACATCAACAACTATAGCTACAACATGGTTAACAACAACATTCGCATCCGTTTGCAAGTTAACGGCACAAGACACCTGTGCATGAACACTGCATGCTAGCGGCGTGCCCTCCTGCCGCATTCACTCACAACCCTCTCGCAAGATCCTTCAGATTTCAGCGCCCTACCTTCAGGGCACTTTCTTAAAGGAGCACTTATTCTGGCCATACCTGAGCCGATGGGAAATAATAAAAATTATCAGAAAAGGCGCCAAAGTTTGGAGATTGTGTACTAATACATGGTGATTGTCTGCCCTCTACAGCATGGCGGCTTGGCCACATAGAAAATCTACACTACGGCTCAGGCGGAAATATCGTGTACGAGTAGTTGATCTTCGTACTCAGTCCGTTCGTTAAACTATACTTTCTACCACCCGCATATAATAGCGAAAATGCAAATAATAAAGAATCCGCCGATTCTACCGAAAAAAAATGGAAAAAAGAATTCAAATAAACCGCGATAAAAAGTTAAAATTAACAGAAATGGTCGATCAATATGACGACCCATTCAATGTACATAACGCCCCTCTCATTTAAATGTTACAATATATTATACCTATAATCAAAATAACCTTTTTTGAAGTGAATCTTCTAATGGGAGCTCGGAAAAATGTTGTGTTAAACGTTTAAGACGCAGTGGTTAGTGTGTATGTGAAGCATTACATACACACAAGTACATACCTACCGGCCAAATTATCAAGCGCATTTGTTCCACCGCATTTGGCCCAGCAGAGTAAGAATAGATACATACATTCATACATACCTACCAGCAAAATTATCAAGTGCATTCGTTCAACCGCGTTTAGCACAGCAGAGCAAGAAATTCCGAATAATACTTCTTTTTCAAAAAACTTTGTTCCGCTATCCTATTAATATCTTGTTACTGATAATTCTCAACTACTTTAAACAAGTTGTAACATAAGAGGCTGCATGTGTGCTGAACAAAGCATGCACCGAATAGAGGCTTATGCAGTTCTGTTGAGTTGACCTTTGCACAAAAATTTTGAATAAAATATTTAAATTTCATTTGCGTATTTTAGTACGGCCACAACAAAATTGTGTACATCAGCTGTTTAATAAATCGCTGCCGTCTTCAAAATGTTCAAGAAGCTGGCTTTAAGATGACATTTGCCGCCCAAGGAAACTTCGCTGTCGTCTTTGTGTGATGTCTAACTGAGCCCATAAGAACGTGTATATGTTAGTATTTTGATGCTGCCTGTCGCTTGTCGGCGTTGAATATAATTAAAAAAAATGAAAAGGAGGCAATAGGGGACGCAGTGGCTTCGAGGTTATGTTTAGGTACGTTACTGTTGATTTGTCGATTGTTTCTTATGTGTTTAAATTTATAATTTCGCGGGAAACATATTTTCACAATGATAACAATAATTATAAACCAATTTCAAAAAGGAAAACAGCTCAACATTATCGTAATTACAGAGCACGAAAGTGAGCAAAGATAGAAAAAGAGTTATCAAATATGGTAACTGGTAACCTGTCTTCAAGTTCTAAGACTTCTACAAATGTTTATTCTTGTAGAAGTAACGTTTAAAAAGCAAAGCCCTTTGTGGTTAAAACTGAATCCCCAATGTACGACATGTATTGTTGCTCCACCCAGGAAACTAATGGTACACCCTAATTAAAACCACCATATACACAAGATAATAACCAATATACCACAGCTGGGAATATATCTGAGAACACTCACAGGATCTCACCATACACGACGACAGCACCAATCTTACCATTTGAGAACACCACACATGTTGACACAGCACACGTTAAACTAACAAAAGAGACGGGATCACTCGACTTGACACCGCTCCACACGCGTCTTTTACATTGGATTCGATTATAAACTGCTTCTCATCAAGGATCCTTCGCGCTTCTTCATCTGTTTACCCAATTGGATTGTACATTGGAACGGCAGCGATTCTCCGCGCTATGACCGTTCTACATGCGCCAATTCGACTACTTTACTATCCAGAGCGGTATATAATTTTCATTCGACATCGATCCTTCACGATTATAAATAGTTCAAAAATAACATAAAAGATAAATTGTATTATAGTGTAATAAAAATTTGGAATAACATTAAATTATAATTTTAATTATAAACTATGTATTTTCACTTATAACGTTAAACGTGAAAACGGTATTAACAGGAAAATGGTTTTTAGTCCAAATCTGTACGAAATAATGTAGTACGTAAATTATAGTCAAGTCCAAATCTGCGAAGTTGATTTTTTTTTTAATTTACGTAGCTTTTGCGAATTGCCAATACATGGGTCACAAGAAAATCGACTTCAAATGGAAATCTAAAAGCATGTATTTTCTCACAAATGAACTGCCTGAAAGGTTTACGAAAAAGGTATTAACAAAAAAGTGGTATATTAGTCCAAATCTGCGAAGTTGATCTTATGTTGTAATTGACGTAGCTTTCGCTAATTTGTTACAAGAAAATCAAATTTGAACGTACATCTAAGAATGTGCAATTTTTCCCAAATGAACTAGGTGTAAGTAATATAATATATTTGTGAAAACAGTATTAACATAAAAATATGACACTATAAAGGTTACAATCGCATTGTATGTATTTGTGAAAAGGTGGTTTAGGTCAAATCTCCGAAGTTGATGTTTGTTTACAATTCAAGTAGATTTTACTGTGAATATACTTATACATGTTACAATAAAATTGATTTTTAACGTAAATCGTAGAATGTTCAAGTTTTTCCAAATGGACTACATGTACATATGTATTTTTGAAAACCGTTTTAAAAGGAAAATGGTATTTTAGTCTAAATCTGTGAAGATGATGGTTTTATGTACTTGTGGTATGTTATGCTAATTGTGAATATAAAAGTTACAAGAAAATCGACCAGGAACGAAAATCTAAGAATGTGTATTTATAAGAATATTTAAGTTTCACCAATGCACTACATGTATATATTTGCGAAACGGGTTCTAACATGGTATTTTAGTCCAAATCTGCGAAGTAGATTTTGTTTTGCAATTTACGTAATCTTTGCTTATTGTCAGTATAAAGATTACAGGAAAATCGACTTTGTACGTAAACCTAACCCTTAAACGCCTGGTGGTTCCTCCAGGAAGCAATCGATATTTTTGTTAATGTTCGTGTATAAATATGCATATTAAATATTACATCACGTGACATGTTGCTTTAATATATCCATTAACTTATAATGTAGTTGCCCCTTGTGTGAGCTTTGTTATTTCCGTTTTGACTTGAGTAAGAGTGCATCGAAAAAATTCGGTTAAGCAGATCTCAAGGTTTTCCCCTAAAAGTGGCCATGTCCACTGTCTAATTTTGAAGTCGGTTCCTATAAAGTGATCTCATACCATCCCTGAATTAAAATTTAATGACTCTGGCGTGTTTAGTGCCTGATTTATCGCGCTTTTACAAGTAATAGTTCCTAACAGTACCATTATATGGGAGTGGGCAGGGTTGTCAGCCCCCTATTTTCACACTATATATAGAAGCTAAAAACATTTGTTCTCAGTGAATTTTGTTATTGTAGCTTTAGCGGTTTGAGGGTATGCACATTAAACCTAAACACAATTTAAACTGCAGATGCCCTTCCCTAATTTGATCCTGTATACCAAATAAGAGTCTTGTATCTTGTTGTGGAGCTTAGTTATGGCAAGTTATTTGTTTTTGATTAATGGCGTTTTGTGGGCGTGGCAGTGGTCCGATTACGCCCATCTGCAATACCAACCGTCTTACGGTACCAAAAAACATATGTACCAAGTTTCATAAAGATATCTCAATTTTTATTCAAGTTACAGCTTGCAGATACAGACGGACGGACGGACAAACAGTCACCCAGATTTCAACTCGTCTCTTTATCCTGATCCTTTATATATATATAATTCGGTATATATCTCGATTACTTTTAGGTGGTAGTATAAAAAAAAATACTTTTAGAATGTTGAGTTCTGAACTATTAATTTAAAACAAACATTCAATCATAAGTATGTTGAAAATAAGAAGCTCAAAGCTGAAAATATTATTATTTAAGCTCGCTCTATTCATTACTTAACGAGTTCTCTGTGTCAAATTGACAGACATTACAGAATTACTTCCGGCTTAAAAGCAATTGTCGAATGAATATGACTACAAACGGTGTGAACACCACTCGGTCAGTCTAATGAAAACCAAAAATTATAATCCTTTAATCTGATGATATTGCCATTTTTAGTTCTCCATCTTTTCCACAAAAGCTAAATTTATTTTTATATATCAATGTTTTTGTGTGGTATATTTACACATACAATAAGTGTCTACCATATATATAATAGGTATAATATTATATATGTGAGCATAATTTATGTACACCGAATGTATGGAGCACAATAATTTATCATTTTGTGGCACTAAAAATAATAACGATATTTCCAAGGCATGAATATTCCATTTTTCGGAAACCCCGTAAACGCCTTTTACATTTTTTTTATTTCTACATATCAACATATTATGAAATTATAAATAAATATGTACTATGCATGCAAATATTTATGTATATTTATTTCCAGTATTTGTACCCAAAGTCTAAAACCTTGACAGTGTCATAACCCTAATCATCAAAAATTTATTTGTGATAAAACACAAAAACATCGTATGTATATCGAACTTTAAATTCTTATATAAATTGAGAACTGTCTTTTCAGAATAGGATGTTTATGGTACATTTTTATTTATATTTGTATGGATATCTTTACCCATAACATAAAAGAATATTTACAAATTAATTATCTTTAGTGCGTCTTTAGCCTTTTTAAAACGCGATCTTTACTTTTACACATTGTTTTATTTCTTATAACTTATTTACTGAGGCTCTCGGCTTAAATTGATTTTTTTTATAATGTTGCATCTGCAGCCACACAAAAACGCCAAATGTTAAGCTCCCAGCTTAACGTCTACGGTTAGAGCTTTTACTCAAAATGGGGAGTGCAATAACCAACATACAAGAAACAGTTTGGAGAAGAATGGTAGAATTTTAATGAACTAAAGTGGTATAAAAAATTAACTATTGATAATCCAAACTGCAGGCATTGTCGGAACTTGATATTGGGCAAATTGGGATTTAAGTGAATTTTTATTTTATTATTTGTTGTGATGAATAAACTTTTCTTTCTTTATTTCTTTCTTCTTTAAAATATTATGTATATTGCAAAGATGCAGGGGATATTTACAAGACTAAAGGGATATTTACAATATACTAAAAATCTAAGTAATTTTACAAAAAAGTACACAAAAAGTGTGGTTATTATTAAAGTTTCGTGTCACAAGGGGAAATTTTGTTCTTTTATAATTATGTAGCTCTAAATGACTAAGTTCTATTTTTGTTAAAATGTGTAATTAGAACAATGACACAGTTCCTTTATAACGTAGTCCGGTCAATTTAGACATTCAAAGGCCGAAAAATAGTTTCCACAATTTCGAGCGAAACGTTGGTCCTTTTTTCCGAAGAGCTATTGTTTCTGAGATATAACGATCATTATATTATGCATACCACCTAAGACGTAGTGGACTAGCGCGGTTTTTTGCAGCTTGTTAAATATGTATGTACCTTTCTCCAAGTTTTCTGGTACATTTTACCGGAATATTAATTAAGCTTACTTTCTGAAGCTCTATTATTTGTCAATATGAGCAACAAGTTGTCATCTCAACCAAATTTCCGAAGTTTGACGTTGCGCTAGGGAAACAACGTACAGAATACTCGGGTAAGGCTCCAACATATTGAAACTATCAACTGAAGACATATTTTGTAACTATTGTTTATCATGCGATTCTTAGTCGTTTAGTACATCGCTCCGATTAATCAACAAAACACATTGGTAAAAAAATTTCGTCGACAAGGAAGCATTTTGTGTTGGTGAAGTGATATGAAAAACAATGTGTTACTCGGTCGTAACGTATTGTGTTCAAAAAACGTAAAATGTATACTCGAAGGTGATTTGCTCCGAAAAGAAATTATACGTGTGTCTAATTCTCCTTACGCATTCCCAATAGTATTAGTGGAGAATAAAAATAATGAGCATCGTCTGTGCGTGGACTATCGACAGTGAAATCGTGTCACAATGAAAGAACCTTTTCCTATGCCTATCATAGACGAATTATTCGCCGCGCTCGCAGGAAACGTTTATTTTACTACCCTTGATTTGAACATTGGTTATCACTAAATTGAGATTTGTGAGAGTGCGAAAAAATATACAGCATTTATAACGAACAGTGGACACTACGAATATAATCGCATGCCGTTCGGTTTGGTTAACGCGTCGACTGTTTTTCAAACCATGATAAATAAACTGTGTGAAAACGTTGACGACGTAATTATCCCGAGTGTAACAATCAACGACGGTATCGAAACGCTAAATAAGTTTTTGGACCAACTTGAAAAGAGCGGATTAACGTTAAGACGAAAAAAATACAATTTTCTCTCAACTCAGATAAGTTTCTTGGGACACATTCTCCCAAAAGACGGCATAAGACCGGGTAAGTCTAAAATCAATTCCATTAATTTTATGAACAAACCTACGAACAGAACCGAAGTAAGAAGATTCCTAGGATTAACCGGATTTCTCCGGAAATTTGTTAAAAACTACGCAATTATTGCCCGACCATTGACGAGGCTTACGACCAAAGCTGCTACCAGAAATTTTGTATGGGGTGCAGTAGAAGACAACGCATTCGATGAACTTGTAGATGCACTCACAAAAGAGCCGGGGCTTGTGTTATATGACTTCAAAGCGTTACATCAAGTTCATACTGACGCGAGTAGCATTGGTCTAGCAGCAGTATTGCTACAATCTGTTGACGAAGGTAAATCCTGGAACGCAGTCATGTACTTCAGTCGACGATGTACCAACATAGAAACACGTTACCACAGCTAAGAACTCGAGGTCCTTGCCGTGGTGAAATCTTTAAAGCGATTCCGTATATATTGTAATATTACTCGGAAAACCGTTTAAAGTGGGGACGGACTGCGCCGCCATTTCGAGTGTAAAAACGAAAACAGAGCTTATACCACGTATTTCTCGATGGTGGATGCAACTTAATGAGTTTAACTTTGAATGCGTGCATAAACCAGGTGCGCGAATACAGCATGTGGATGTCATAAGTCGATCCCCTGCTGATGACAACGACATAAATGAACATAAGCAAGTCATGAATATCTCCGACACAAACGACGATTGGTTACTAACAATGCAGCTACAAGATAAGAATATCTGCGAAATTGTTAACGTCCTTAAGGCGATACGAAAGTCAGATCATGTAACGCATTGAAAAACGAATAATAATAATATATACGATTTTTTGTTGTACCAAAAGTGGTGAGATGGCGAGTGACTAAGTACTGCCACGATGGTATGGGTCATTTCAGCAAAGAAAAACCTGTTAAACTAATCTATGAGGCATTTTGGTTTCCGAAAGTATGAGAATACGTGAAAGAATATATTGCAGTGTGCATAGAATCTTGCTACAACAAGGCAATCGGAGGTAAACCTGAAGGTAATCTCTACATAGACGCAGTAGATCCTATTCCTTTCCGCACGTTACATACCGACTATTTAGGCCCATTTGTTAGAAGTAAAACAGGATATACGCATACTGTCGCAGTAAGTGACGTTTTTACGAAATATTTTATTTCAAACCAGTGCGCAACACTAAAACGCAACCAGTGTTGCAAGTGTTCAACGAACTGTGTAGCTATTTCGGTCTACCAACGAGAATCACAAGCGATCGAGGTACCGCGTATACGGCTAAGCTGTTTACTGATTTCTGCAATACAAATGACATTCAGCATATAAAACCTGCTTTTAGAACGCCGAAGGCGAATGGTCAAGTAAAGAGGGTTAACCAGACTATCTTGAACTTCCTCCGAACATCTGGTTCCAATGCAAAAGAGTGGGACACAAAACGACGAAATCTGCAAAGGAGCGTACTTGACACTAGTAGCAAAAGCTACCAAAGTACATGAAACCATCAACTTAACAGATTTGGACTAAAATACCATTTTTGTGTTAAAAACCTTTTTACAAATCCACTCATGTAAAACATTTGGAAAAACTTGAGCATTCTTAGATTTACGTCGAAAGTCTACTTTCTTGTAACCTGTACTTGTATATTCATATTGAGCAAAAGCTATGTCAATTGCAAAATCACATCAATATCGCATATTTGAACTAACAGAGACATCCTTAGATTTATATTTATTTAAAGTCGATTTTCTTTTAACCTTTGTATTTACAATAAGCAAAAACTACCACAAATACATGAATCCATTAACTTCACAGATTTGGACTAAAACTCCATTTTCGTGTTAAAACCTTTTTCACAAATACATACTATTACATAAGTACATACATACTACTAAGTTTTACGTTCATGCAAATTAATTTTCTTGTATCCTAAATATTCACAATTAGTCAATTGCAAAATCACATCAACTTCGCAGATTTGGGCTAAAATACCATTTTCATATCAATATCGTGTTCACAAATACATATATTTAGTGCATTTTGGAAAACTCGAACTTCCTTAGATTTATATTCAGAATCGAATTTCTTTTAACATGTGTATTCACAATAAGCAAAAGCTACCACAAATACATGAAACCAGATTTGGACTAATATACCATTTTCTGTGTTAAAACCTTTTTCACAAATGCACATGCACGTAGTGCACATTGAAGTGGAAATAGCCATTGAAGTTTTTAGATTAATTTCAAGTGTATTGTGTGATAGATAACTTTTGGAAAAATAAGTTTCCAAGGTCGATTTTATGTAGTTGGTTGAATCGACAATATTAGCAACAACGAAATAGGAAGCGCCGATAACTTTCCGATATCAAGTTACGAACAAATATGTAACAGAAGATAAGATTTCACAATGGAGCATTAGTTCGAGACTTCATCGGTATTTCATTTAAACAATTTATCATTATTTTGTAATAATTATTTTGGTGTCCTTTTGCAGGTGTATCGTGGTCACATATGACGACAAATTCAAAGGGGCCGATTTCATTCGATTATTCAATCAAGGAAGAATTAAACCAAAACCAGAAACAAATCATACGATTATGCACGAGAAGGAATTATAAATTTTAATTGTTTTTAAATTTATTTTTAAAAAGTGTTTTATACAACTTTCTTTAGATTTTGTTCACATTTTGTTTCAATTCTTCAATAAAATTTTAATACTACAAGTATTAACATTGTTAATGAATTTTATTTTCTATTGTTCGAATTTCGACCACTGGATTCAATTGATTAGTAAACTGATAATAGATAGATTAGTTAGTATGGAAATCTAGAAAACAGTTTTGCTGTGACGATAAACAATGGGATATACCACACTTTGATTTTCCATCATTTATAAATGTCTAATATTGTCATAATATCACGCGGCGGTAGCGAGGTACTGTTAGGATGAGATCGTTATTCAGAAATCTGAGCAATCATTTTTAAGTGGATAGTCTTTGTTCCCCGAGTAAATTTCAAAACAGTAACAAAAGCCTAAATCATCACACATCAAGAAAAATGTGTAGCCCCAAGTATGTGGCTTGTCAAGCATATACTGTTTGAAAAAAATTTTATTTTTTTTGTTAAACAAATTTGCTCGTCAATGCAAAGTCGTTCTATTTTTGGAACCCTATTGAATGTTTTGTTAAGTGCTTCAATCAATGGTCGTATTTTAAACAGACGATTAACGATATTTGCTGATAAGGATTCATGCGATAATTGAGTTGTTTTAGTTGGTTGCTCGTCTTCCTGTTGCTCGATATTACGACAAACGAGGCGTTTCGTTATTGTTGATATGCAAAAATTGTCGAATTTTCTCATGACAGTTTCATGTCATAGCTGCCATGATATGAGGGTCGTTTAATTTCATCAGGTGTGGTGTTAAGAGGGTTCAAAATATCTTGATGTATAGAATACAAATTGCTCTGTTCTACGATATTTGAAACATCATCATCTAATACAAAATATGAAAAGAATTGATATGCTACGGTGGTCGCTACCTCGAAACTGAATCCAACTTTCTTTAAATTACATGCTGCAGAGCTTCCAAAGTAGTTTTTTAAACTCTATAGAATCCTTATCTATCGTTGTGCGCGAGAAAAATATAGCATATTGTGGCCATCGTGTTCTATCTGATCCCTAATTATGTTGAATCGCCGAAATAGTGACATTTGTATCAGCGATGCTATCGTCGTCAGAAAAACCAGTTTCCCAGTCACTATCAAAATCACTAACGAACTTTTCGAGATCTTCCTGATTAATTAAACTATAACTTCTCTATGTCATTCTATATTGGTATAGACAAATTTATGGGTTTTTACACTTTTACTTATCACTTTATTATAATTTTCCATAAGTATATATTATATTATAATTTTGCACAAGTAACAAAATATATATAAGCACCTGATGGTTTCTCAAGGGACCATTTAAGTTTTATTTCATAAAATTTTTAATTCAATTTGTAAAATTTTTATCAAAACTTTCATAAAATTAAATTGTAATAACTATGAAGATTCCAAATTTTCAGCGCTAATCAATTAGTATTACGTTCGCACTAGTCACTTTAAAGTACACAGTATTCACCTAACGGTTGTTTGTATCACCCAAAACTAATCGAGTTAGATATAGCGTTATATATATAAATGATCCGGTTGACTGTTTGTCCGTCCGTCTGTGCAAGTAAATTGTCATAACTAAGCTCCACAATAAGATACAAGATTTAGGTATAATGTGCATACCCCCAAACCGCTAAAGCTAGTTTAGAAAGTTGCGTTCAAAATGATATCATAAATTTTCAATTGTACGTTTAGTTTTTCGAAACAATCATAAAAACCACCAGTGAATCCGTTTAATTTGACATAACATTTTTTACGATATGCTTTATCAAATTTATTTGCAAATTTTTCACTAACAAGTGACCGCGCACTACCGGTATCAATAAATGCTTCAGCTTTTTCATCACACACTGTAATTTGTTTCACTGTAAATTTTTCAGTTACGTCATAGATTTCGTTGCAATTTGGTTGTGTTTGTACGTTTCATTTACACTCGTTTGGCTTATGTCCAGTTTTACCGCATTTTTCACATCTTACTTTACGTTGTGGCTCACTACAATTTCTTGATATGTAGCCAGGCTTATTGCAATTGAAACGTATATAATCGTTTTTAGGTTTATTTACGTTTTTCACTTCAATGCTTTCTAATTTCGGCACTAATTGTGCAGGCTTTGTTATCGCACTTGTTTTTAATATATTATTTGCACAATAGTTTCGTATGGCATTCAAAAGTTCATTAGAGTTTGAATACCCATTTACCGACAACGCATGTTTCATATCTGCATCGTTCAATCCATTAATTATATACATATGTAATTAAATATTTATCATCCACCGCACTTTGCCTAACAATTGATAATATTTTATAGTAAAACATTTCAGGCGTTTCACTTGCTAACCGGCACATATTCATGAGTGTCATGTGAATGGCTGCAAAATTCACCTCAGAGGGGAATTCATAAAGGAAGTCGTCGACAAATACTGACCAATTGCTATAAACCGTGAGCATGGAATCGAGCCATAAGTTCGCAACTCCTCTCAGATTTGCTTGTACCGCGAACAAAAGTGTTTTCTCGTCCCAATTGTACGCTTGTTTCAGTTGATCCACTCTTCCGACGAACTGTATAGATGTCAACCGTTTATCTTTCGAGTCAAACGTTGGCATAATTGAAATTATGTCATGCACATTCGCGACGTTGTTATACGGACTGCTGTTCTGTTCCCGATGAACCGACGAGGTTGGTACGTGTTGTAACGGTTGACATATATACATTGGCATAGTGCCACCGTTGTTGCAAATTGTTGAATTCATATTTCGTTGATATTCGTTGTTAGCTTCGGAGAAATTAACTCGTCGTGTTGAATGCTGTACTGTTTGTGCAGAACATGAAGCTAAATTTGTTGACAGCGGTGCTGCATGCGCAGAACATAAAGCTAAATTCGTTTGTACTGCATGTGTAGGTGCCGTAGCGTTTGAAAACGTGTCTGTATATGCAAAATCATGTACAATTGGGCGTTGAATATGCGAATATTCATCACTACGTGGGAAAATAGGAGCACAGCCTAACGTTGACTGTACTTTGATCGTATGCAAATATGATGTAGCATTTGTTTCAAGTTCTGTGCTAACGTTAGCAGAGCTTCAGCCGTATTTATTTGAACACACGTCGCATTCGTGTTGGCTGCTGCCGCCCATTCATAAGCGTTGTATGATTGACATGCAGCCCCTATGTCGTACATCTCCCGTTCATTTTCGTATAGTCTTTCTATCAGGACTGGTTTGGTTCCCGTTTCCGACAAACCAAGTCCTCGTAACACTTCACGCAATTTCGTCACAGTCATCGACCTGTATCTCACCATTTTTAGATTTAACGTACGGCGCGAAGATTAATTCACTTCTGAAATTGTTAATGTACCGAAAATACTTACGCTACTTTTGTTCTTTTTGTTTTTTAATAATTTTGAAATACAAATCTGAATGGCGACTTGCTAAAACACTTCATTTATTGTAAAAATTTCATCTTAAAAAGCGTATTACAAAAAATATAAGAATAAACCGTCCATCTTGTCCGAAATACAAAATGGAACTGCCACTATTTATTACAATTAAAAATCATTGTCGCGTCACTCGTCAGTCTGTCAGGGTTGCCTTTGTTCGTAGTCTGATTTTACGCTTGACACTAGTGAATAGAAAGGTAAAATCTGCCATTTTGGTGTGCTTTTACAATTGACGTAGCTTGTGCCAATTGTGAGTATACAGGTTCCAAGAAAATAAACTTTGAACGTAAATCTAAGAATGTTCAAGTTTTCTTTCCAATATGCACTAAATGTATGTATTTAATGTATGTACAAGTATGAACACGGTATTAACATGAAAATGGAATTTTAGATCAAATCTGCGATGTTGATGTGATTTTGCAATTAACTTGAGTTTGTGTTAATTGTAAATATACAGGTTACAAGAAAAAATACTTTGAACGTAAATCTTAGAATGTTCGAGTTTTTCAAAATGCACTACATGCAGGCATTTGTGAAAAACATTTCAACACGAAAATGGTTTTTAGTCCAAATCTGTGAAGTTGATGGATGTATTTTAATAATAAATATATAAGTAGGTTAAGAGATAATCGACACTGATTATAAATCTAAAAATATTCAAGTTTTCCCAAATGCACTAAATGTATGTATCTGTGAACACGGCATTAACATGAAAATTTTGTTTTATTCCAAATCTGCGATGTTGATGCGATTTTGCCCTATGTATGTACTTGTAAGAAAGGTTTTAACACGAAAACGTTATTTCAGTCCAGATCTGTGAAGTTGATGAGGTTTCATGTATTTGTGGTAGCTTTTGCTACTAGTGAATCAACAAGTAATGGTTAAAAGAAAATTGACTCTGAAAATAATTCTAAGAATACTTAAGTTTTTCCAAATGCGCTAATTGTATGTATCTGCGAACATGGTATTAACATGAAAATGGAATTTTAGTCCAAATCTGCGATGCTGATGTGATTTTGCAATTGACATAGCTTTAGCTCATTGTGATTTTATTAGTTTCAAGAAAATATACTTTGTACGTTAATATAAGAATGTTCAAGTTTTCCCAAATGCTCTACTTGTATGTATATGTGAAAAAAGTTTTAAAACGAAAATGGTACTTTAGTCCTAATCTGCGATGTTGACGTGATTTTGCAATTGACGTAGCTTTTGCTCATTGTGAATATACAGGATACAAGAAAAGAGAAGTGTATGTATTTGTGAAAAAGGTTTTGACACGAAAATGGTACTTAAGTCCAAATCTGTAAAGTTAATGGATTCATGTATTTGTGGCAGCTTTTGCTAATAAAGAATGTTGTTGGGTCACCGATTGAGAACCAATGCATTCTACGGTCATATGTTGGAATACTATTTCTTGTTCTCTAATTATTTGCCTTAAATATTCAAGGGCAAGCATTAGAAGTCATTCATCTCAAAGCAGTTAATAATTGTATTTGCTTTGTGTACATACTTACACATTTATTTGCTTGCTTTGTACATTTATGGTACCGCTTTTCGTCCACGCAATTACATGAATATTTGTTAGTGCACATTAGCTAGTCCCATTTAAAATATACTAAGCTTAATATGTAAGCAGCCTCTTGCAATGCGCCGTTCCCATTTTTATATTTCTCTTTTTATACTCTCGCAACATGTTGCAACAGAGTATAGCTTTGTTCACCAAACGGTTGTTTGCATCACCTAAAACTAATCGAGATAGATATAGATTTCTATATACAAATATTTCTTCTAATATTTGGTGATAATCAGTGGATAAGTATATTTTCTCAGCCATCATGTTGAACATGTAACAAAATATACCAGACAACAATGTAAAAAAGTTTCTTAGAGTGCTGCACTTTGTATAGCGCAAAAATATCTTTCTAGAAAAAATCGCCTGAGATAAATATTAGTAGTGTAGTATCAAAAGGGCTAAATATCCTTTTTATGTGGTTATAGATAAACTGCGACCCCATCGATTAAAATGCTATTATCTATTATTTTAGTTTTGCGACACATTTTAATATGAAGGTCATGAGGCGAACTGTAAACTCAAGAAAATTACATATACATAAGTACTTTTTGGGATTTACCCAGCGCCGTTGGCAGCTTATGAAAGGTTTAGATATTAAGACAGAAAGAAGAAAATCTACATACCTGCTCTACATATGTGTGCACTATACTTAATTATATGTTAGTTATTGCTAATTTAGCCTTCATGAACAGACCTTTCAAAATAGATATCATAGATCCCTGTTTTAAAAAGCGTTAGACAAAAGTAATTTACGGAGGAGTTTTCCGAGTACTTAATTTTAATACAATGAAGTAAACTACTAATTTCTAAAATATAAATATAACTAAATATTATGTATTTTAAATATAATAAAATTATTATACTCTGTAACAACATGTTGCAAGAGTATAATAAATATCAGTACACTGTGTTTGTAGTTTCAAGTATGTGTATTCAAGCAAGCAAAACCGTATTATATACAGTCGCGAGCAAACACATATACATATGTGCACCAGTATACTATAGTACCTATACACCGAACAGGAAAGGAGTCATAGCAAAGATTCAATTACAGTGAAAGAGAGCAGCACCTAGGATCCAACTTTTCAGACCCGGACGTACGGAATTATATAAGTATTTTATATATTAAGCCATTTATTATTTAGTATTGTGCCTAGATTAAGTAGAAAATCTGTATTACTAAGTCGTCTTCAGTTTAGAAGACGTATAAGAGTTCTTCGTGCAAACTCTTTATATAGAGATAGTAAGCAGTCACAAGATACTGTAAGTCACGCTAATCGTAGATTAGATTCCGACGTACGTATGTCCGATAAAATTATAAATACAAATCAACATAGAACCAGGCGGGAAAATCTCGAGGTATAGTCTTTTGAACAAAATTTAAATACTGTTCAACATAGGCAAGACGTCTAAATCCAGAAATCCGCTCTGAAGAACAAATAAGAAATACTCGAGGTCATAGATCTCGGCGCGAAGACCCCGAGCTTCGATCTGTTGAGCAAATGAGAAATACTGTTCAACATAGAACAAGACGGCAAGATCCACAAATTCGCTCTGAAGAGCAAATAAGAAATACTCGAGGTCATAGGTCTCGTCGAGGAAATCCCGAGGTACGTTATGATGAGGAAAGTAGGAACACTAGGGATCAAAGAGAACTTCGCGCAAGAAATCCTGAGTATAGGGCTTTAGAGCGCATTCGTGATCAAATGCAAGGGGCACATGCAAGAAGAAATCCTGAAATAAGGAGAGAGGAGCGTGATAGAGAAACCCAACGTCGACAGCTTAGTAGGAGGGGTATGAGGGAAGAAATTTTGAATCAGAGACGTCTTAGACAAGGTCAAGTTCGCCTTCGTAGAGATAACCCATTCAATAGACAAATTGAAAACCAAAGGCAGTCCCAACGAATCCGATTAACGAGAGAAAATAATATTATAGAAACTGATAATAGTGGAAATTTAACAGATTTTAAAAACATTTATTTCCAAAATATAAATAAGGACCCTACTGAAATATGTATTTGCTGCGGTGGCTTATGGTTTTCACACCAAGTTCGCAATTTAAATTTCGAAACTATTGCGCAAGGTCACGCGAATGCTGCATTCGCCTTCTTTTAATGCAAAATTTCCTTCGGAAATGAAAATTACAATTTTGTGCTACTGCAACAACGAGCGTTAAAAGAACGTTCCAAAATATGTTTTATGTAAATCCGTCCGTTAGGATATCAAAGTCCGAGTTTGCGCAAAGGTGCTGTTCTTAATATACCAATTTCTGTTAACAATATTGTGACATCTCTACCATGGTCCTTTGATGAGGCTCATGTTATACAAATTCACTAAGAAGGCGTTTATGGAAGCTTTGCAATTCTTAGTGAATACCACCTCTATCGTGAGCACAATAAACATATTAATGAAAACTGGATTTCAGAATTTAATAGCCAAGAAAAGTTCCGTCTTGCATCTGCAGATGACTCCCGATTGGTTCAATCTTTTCGTGCGGCACAAAATACTCATGATAATCCCTCGGGTAATAATATTCCCATGGGTCTTTTACCTTGCGAGCTAAACCCAGTCGGTCAAGACCTTTTGGTCAATATTCCTGTAGAAAACTTGGACTTTATCCGTTTAGTCATAGCGCCAGGTGAAGGACTAGGCCAATTGACATAATTCAGAAAAGTTGTCTTTGGAACAATATACGTTGGGCTAATACGTTCTGAAATTCGCCGTTTGACAGAAGAGCGTGTAACATTCCAAAGTTGTTCTCTGATTACAAAAATTAGAACTGCTACAAATTAAGAATAGTACATCCATTTGCAACCAAGTTAGGCCCAAAATCCATTAAACGAAAACATTGTTCAAAACTATGTTCAACACGATGATGGTTACAAGGTTTTAAAAGGCGTTAGATCCTCACCTGCGCACGGGAACCTGAGAAGAAAAAGGCAATCGCTATGATTCGCCAATTTGGGCTTCAACCTTCTTATCACTTTATCGGCTGCAGAATCTCAGTGGTTGAGCTTTTGGTCATCCTCTCTAAAACTGTTGATTATAAAGATATATCGGAGAGGAAGCCAACAGTTTAACACCCAAGATAGATATCGCTTAATTCGGTCAGAAGCGGTTACTTGTGCTAGATATTTTGACTACCGCTATCGACAAATTCTTAAGCTTTTAAAGATAATGCCGGCATTTTGGAGAGCATTTTGTCACAAATTTTACTGGAGAGTGAGTTTTAGCAGAGAGTTCCCGCATGTACATGGCATGTATCGGTCTTGTACTAGAGAAATAAGAGGACAACAGTTGTGTCGTTTTGGATACCATATCCACCAATGCCTTCAACGCAACTACTGTTACCTCTTACAGAAACGAGTCAAAACTCAGAAAGACACAAGGAAAATTTTCCAAATTTAAAACCTTTTAAATTCAAATATGACTACAGAAGACATTTCTAATTTAAAGAGATTTTGAACACTTCCTGTCTGATAGTAGAATAAATATGTTCTTTTGATGACTATTGTTAGCCCTCAGATCAAGTTTAACAAAACCCAAAATTTTCTAAAAAGAAATTACAGGATCGTTTTATAAACGCTTATCATCCTCTGATTTTGGAAATCCAAAAGACCAAATATGGATATCCAATATATACTGGATGCATATGCTTGCTGTTCATATAATATAATTATATCAAAAGTCTAACAGGGGTTTCTAGGCTCTTAATGAAGCTATATCAGACGTAAATGCTGGAAATTATACTATTAGCAAAAACTTAAACATATAGGGCACAAATTTATATCAGGCACAGAAATATCTGCACAAGAAGCAGTATATTGCTGCATGGGCTCTATCTTTCGAAGCATATAATGCAGAAATATTTATAATAACCTCTCGACCTGAGGAACGTGTTCGAATGGTGAAACCTAGAGCAGAAATTCAGAACCTT